AAAACAACAGTGATGATGAATAGATTTAATTTAGTCTACTACGTAGAATTTCATCAMAAATAGACTCGCTTATGTTGTATGTAGAAAATGTTTTGTGAAGCTGAGGCTGGCAAAGAGAATTATTCTTGGATATGACAGCACTCTTAAATAATTATCAGGAGCTAGCTGTAGGGATGTCCCTATCAGATACTCAGTATCGGTATCGGTGGCAGATATGGCCATTTTTTGAAAATCAGGTAGAATCGGATTTAATCCTGTGATTGGGCTGATCCAGTTTTCACGACAGTTTTCAGCATCATCATTGTTTAGAACTGCTGTTAAGAAGTCAAGACGCACACAAGTGTGCAAACATGTCCACAGTGTGGGAACACTTTTCAATGGAAAACGATGATGCTGAAACTGCCTCTTGCGAAATCTGCAAACTGGATGTTTGTCGTGGTGGGAACAGCAGGGCGCGGTTTAATACAACCAACCTTGTCACTTGGAAAGAAATAAAGCTATCGGATCGCTATCGGATCAGTATCGGAATCATTAAAAAAATCTGATTGTATCGGGAGCCAAAAATTCTGGATCGGGACACCCCTAGCTAGCTGGTGAGCTGACTAAACATTTATTTTGAAACTCAACATCTAACCTTGAAGATTTTTTGTCTTTTACCTTATTCTCCCCCTACAGGATGCAATATATAATCAAATGTGAGTTAACTGCTCCAAGAGACCACATCACCRCCATTATAAAAGTAACTTTTGTTGTTTTTATCTGACTGTAAATGTAACCTTTAAAATGAAAAGCAGAAATCTGAGCTGCCATCCTTCTCCTTGATTTCTGCTGTATGCCCATGATGGATGCAACCTTAAACCGTACAAAAGCAATCTCGCTGGAGTCATGGCCTTTTGTTATGGAGTCAAAGCCAAGTGTCAGAGCTGCTCACTTTAATCTGTTTTTCCTTTTAAAGATCAAGAGATTCCTGAATGAATACATTCATCATGAAAAATTGAAGTAATATATTTTTGGCACTAAAAATCTTCATGTATATATCTGTAATTCTGGTATATTTTTATGACCAAAATACCCTTTTGGGACCTAATTGATAAAAATGTTATCTTCTTGTTGCATCTTGGTGCATACTTTTTTTTTTGCTCTTTTTCCTTGTTAAAGTTCTTCAGGTAAACAGCAAGAGTCTCTGTGACAACACAATGCTTTCCCTCGACTTAATGCCTTTGTTAATTTGTTTACCTTGCTCAAATAGACCTCATCACTGGAGGAATTTGTCTCTAGGATGTGTTGAGTTGCTCCTGAGCCGTAACTCCACATATCCACTCCATTTCTCAGAAAGGGCCCTGACAGTCAGCCTAATTATAATTTGGTCGTTAGTCGTGACAAAGGAGCTGTTTTATAGAAACCAGGAACATCAATTCATCCATGAAGGCTTGTAGTCACAAAGTGCAACAATCGCAGTTGGCAGAAATCGGTTATTTTAGCATTAAATTATTCAGAATTGTTAAAAAAGAGACTGTAAATACTTGTCTGTCTTATTATGTAGAATGTATTGAGAAAATATTCAACCTGATATTTCATTTACTGCTTTGAATACAGTCTGCAGAGACTGTTTAAGTATGCCATGATAGAGTAAAATGTTTTTGTATTAAAACTCTATTTGAAGGTAAATATGTTGTAATCATGAGACGTGACATCAGTTTGGCCTGAGATCTGTGGATAATGACATGATGTGAAAGGCATCCCACAGACCATAATTAATTGTGGTGTTTCATTGACGTTGCTGAGCTTTTATACAAGTAGCTCAGAATTTCTCAACAAATGTTTTTGGATATCTGGTCAGTGCTTGCTCACCACTTTAACTCATCCATTTTGGAAAAATGATTTATGCTTATTGCAGTGCATAATTTATTTATATATTTAAAAAAGTCATTTCCCCCCAAATTTCATAGGGTAAAAAGAGAGAACTTCATGTCTTGGACATTTTAAATTTTTGAGTTAATTAAAAACCACTGTGACGAATCTGGTTTTCAGGTGCTCACATCAAAGTAAACAGCTTTTTTTATCTTTTGCTTGAGTGCAATCCAATAAATAAGCATGCCACAAAACTATGCTGCATGTGCGTCTTTGAGTAAACATTCTCATCCATGTATTCATTCTTTACAGTCAAATCATCCATTAGCCTGTCCATAAAAATATTTCTTGGATCAAAAATAACTTTATTTGACATAAAAACTGGAGGTAAAGTGTGATTCCTCTTTACTCTTCCATGAAAACACTGAAACACACACTTGTGTTGATGAGTATCATCTACAATCGCCATATAAAATGAATTTMTTTATGTTTTCAACTTCTGAAGGGAGATTGATCAAGGCGATTTTTCTTGGGAATTTTAAAGGCCTGAGCGACTTTATATAATCCTGGACTTCCTTACAGTTTAATAGCAGTGTAAACATGCCACTTGCGGTCCTTACTGCAGGCCTCTACTGTATTTTGTCAGCAAGGAGAAGCAGGAACAGCCCTCTCGCACTATTGATTCCTCTGCTTCCTTTAAAGATTCGGTGAAATAAGTAAATGTTACTTTGCATTTTAACGCCACATTTGTTTACTTGCCTTAGGGAGTCTCTAAGTTCAAGGTGAAGTAAAGAACAATAAAGATGGATTGAACCCCTCTAGGACTGTGTAATTGTTTATAGGGTGTAAGATGAAAGGATAAAGAAACACTCTGGACTCCGTTTATCATATCTGAATCAAAGAAGAAAAGTGCATTGTTGACTCAGTGCAGGGAATAAAGGGCTTTCTAGGTCTGACCAGATTCTTTGCATTTTTTTCAGGGATAGTTTCAAATTCAGTAAATAAAAAGTTTGCATAACCTAACTTTTTTCTTTCATGACATGAAATAAAAGTTTGTAATCACTTGAGGTTTGTTGAGTTTGTATAGCTGTAATCACATTTAACACAAATTCCATGGATATTCTGTTGGCATTAAGAGGCCTATTACTGTATATAGCTTTTGGAAGATAAGGAACTGCAGCATTAAAAAAGTTTGTGGCACTTCAATTAACTCCTAGCATTTAATGTGAAAATAAATTCCCTCTTAAGTCCAATATAATGTAAAGCCAATATACTGTATATGCATATATTTCTAAGCTGTGAAAGACAAAGGGCTAATGAGCAACTTCTGTGGAAAGATGAACTAAAACTAAAACCTCACTCCATTACTGAGGCTGAAATAGTTTATTCTTCAAAGAGGCCTGTCCAGTTTTTGAAGTGCTGTAAGGTGAAATCTAACCAGACAGGTTGCGACACAAATGGGTCAGTCAGCTGTGATGGTCATAATGCACGACCACAGCTTTATGTGCGTTTGTAACAGTAAGCCATGCCTGACAGTTGCAATWAAACCAAAACCTGTTGAAAAAGCTAGCAGCATCTAAATTCAGCATGCAGCCTGTCAGGTGCTCTGTATGCGTGTGCCCGTGTGTGTTTTTGTTTGTTTGTTGTGTGTGTGTGTGTGTGTGTGTGTTCCCAGGAAGATAGTCCACATGACCCAACTTCAGCTTTTCAGCTTTAGTGTAGTGCTGTAGACAGCTGTGCCACAAACTCATGGCTGTAGATCACCGCGAGGACCTTTTATTTAGGTCACATTGTGTGCTTCAGCAACCAACAGAAGGGATCTCTGTCTAATACGATGAATACCTTTTTAGCTGGACTCAGCTCAGCAAAAACTCAGCAAGGAATGCGTGTCCTAGTGATGTATTTGTATGGCTGTATTACAGGTGGGGTGGACTGTAACCACTATGTTTTCCTTTTTTTTTTCTTTTCTTGCTTTTACAATGAAACAGAAGCTTAATATATTAGCTTAGTTCTCTTTCCCGAAWGATTTAATCCTCTGCTCTGGTATTAACAATGAAATTGTATGAATCACTTCCCATTTTTTTCAATTAATCCAGCACCGGTTTATAGTTCAAGAAAATAATAAATGCAACTCACTTTATATTCATGCACACAAGTAGATCTTGTGTTTGACCTATACTCTGTCCTCTAATTGTTAAAAACAAAGTTGACATGCTACTCTGGCTGACATGTTGTTTTCTCCCTGTTGCCCTCCAATATTTAATTTATTTATCTTTTAGCTTGAGTTTAAGTTATGTTGTGAATTGTGGTAATGAGTTGTACGCTGAGGCTCAACCACATTGTTGTCGTTGTGTTACACTGTGCTCCTTTTTTTTGTCCTGTTACCTTCACCTTCAGTCCATTGGAAACAGTGTGGGTCCAGCAGCTAGCCAGCCCCAGCCTCAGATGATTAAGGGAAGCAGTTTAAAGGCGCTGATGGATGCAGTTGTTTTTGTGACACCGTGTGAGAGGGAGGTCATTTATTCCGACTGCCTTTTCTCCCGAAGCTATGTGGGAGGTTTACTGGTCGGGTACTTTCCTTCCAGAAAAACGAAAGGCATAGACTGAAAGTGTACAATCATGCTGTCATCATTTATTGCATTTGTAGGTAGGAAGGGATGTGCATGTGTGMACATTAAGCAGATGTACAGTAAGTCTACATCCCATCCCCAGTTTCTTATAAATTTTTAGAGCTACTGGGGTGCCTAGTTTTACGGTACACATGAATAAATACAGGGCACACTTTGTCTCTCTCTGTGCTTGATCCCTTGTCACTTTTATATTGTATTCTTCCAGACCAAACACTAAAATGTGAGGAAGCTTGAGGACAGATATGCTTGTCAGGGGCATCGTAGCATGTGGCATCTATATTTAGGGATTTCACTTCTAAAGTTTTGAAAGACAGAAATAAAGGACTGAAAACAGAAGGAAAAGTTTCAGCCTTCATCAAGATTTCTCATCCATGAAAGAGTGTCAAAATAAGCCTTTTTCAGATTGATGCAAAATGCGATGTAGTATGTTTTATGAGTGCAATCTTAAGCTGTTTAAAAAGKTTTTTTTTTCTGTTTCTCCCTCTTTGTTTAATGTCACGGCTGTGTGTTTTCTTGTAGAGCCAGATTGGGGTCCTGTGCAGACTTTCAGCTGCGACAGTTGGACGTGCGAGCTGTCTCGCCCATGATGACCATGAAAGGCCTGTCCAGCAGCCGCAGTCACCAGACTGTGACCTGCGACCCCTCCTACGACTCCATGACTCTGGGACACTCGGATCGCCGGTCCTACTTTCTCAAYCAGGGGGAGACTCATCCCGCTGACCACCCTTGCTACTCCCAGCGGAATRCCTTTCAGCCCGAGTGCAGTGCCTATCCCGATCTGACCAGCTGCACCTTCCCTCGGAGACATTACAGCTCTCACCACGAGCTGAAGGAAGAGTGCGGTGCTGTGGTGCCTTACACTGGGCCAGCAGGGAGCTGTAAGGGGACCGCAGGAACCAACAACAATCGCGTCCCGTCCAACTTGCTGGAACAGTTTGAGACACAAGCGCCATTGCGACGTGAAGGCTACCACACGCTGCAGTACAAGCATACTGCAGTGGAGCACCAACGCAGTGACAGCCCTGGTCGAATCCGCCACCTTGTCCACTCTGTGCAGAAGCTTTTCACCAAGTCCCACTCTCTAGAGGGGCCCTCGGGGTCTGGAGGTGGAGGAGGGAGTGGGAAGATGAATGGCAGCAAATCAAGTACTGACGATCCTCCCTCATGCTCCGGCACCCTAAAGCACAGCAAGCGCAGCAAGAGCAAAGACCGCTCCAAGTCAGAACCCAAGATGCGCACCGCCATATCAGGATACTGGAGCTCAGACGACACGCTCGACCGAGAGGTGTGTCTCTACCATCACCAACAGGGGGGCAGCGGTGGAACCATGCCCTCCGGGGTCATGACCATTGGACGGCACCCGGACAAGTCCCAGTCGCAATACTTCATGGAGTCGTACAACACGATCAGTGCCCAGTCGTTGAAGACGTCGCGCAGCAACAAYGACGTGAAGTGCTCTACGTGCTCCGGCGGCAGCAGTGGAACTCTGCCGCTGATGGGTCCACTTGATGGGCAAGTTCAGCTAAAGAAGAGCTCGTGGTCCTCTACTCTGACCGTAAGCAGAGCGAGGGAGGTCTACCAAAAGGCCTCTGTCAACTTAGATAAAGCTCTTGTCAAAGCCGAGCAGGGACGCACTTGCCATTTCCTACAGGTAGGATGGTTGCCACAGCCCCACTTCTAACATATTGTGTATCAAACYAGTTGCTGTTTCATTCATCCATTTATTTTGTTTGTTTTGGGCTTGAATGTGCATGTACAGCATGTCTGTGTGAGTTAGACAGACTGATCGGACACGCTATGCCCCGAAAACCCATCCTGTCATTCCCTTGATCACTGGTCTTGTGTTTTTTTTTCTCTTTTGTATATTTTCATAAATTTTGTTCCTTAAATCATTCCATGACATCYGCTCTTTTGTGTCCATGTGCATTGAAATGTCAGTATATACACACATGTTTTAATGCCTTGACATCTGGAATTTGCAGTATATTAAAAGTCACAGGAGGATAAAAGTATTTACCTTTTTTTTTTTTACCAGAAAATCAATTCAATAACCTTCTGTTACATAATCCAGCAAGTTCAGTTCATCCTACTGTCTTTATTTTTACAGTACAATGTATAGAAAAGAAGATTTAAAACACAAATTTAATCTGTGTTTGAATGGCACGCTGTCACATTGAACTACATTTGCCCAGCTGTCAGGACTGGGTGGTCATAGCAGCAGCAGCATGACTGATCGTGCGTACGTCTTGGTCACAGTCAGTCAGTATGGTGCCACTGTGAGATCAGAGTAAGTTCAGCTGACATAAACTGAGGAAAACATTAAAAAAGGTGCTCCATTTCCCTTAACCCTGTCGTCACACACTCCAGCAACACAGAGACACATGCATTCTGACACATCAGCACATTGGGTCACGCATATTCRTTTCTATTTTCAGAAAGAAACAAAAAATACATATTTTTTCCATTTCCATAAGTTTCCTCAGACTGAGGTGAGGTAAAACTATAAGCCTGGAGAAACAAAAAGACAAAGCAGAAAGAATAGACAGGCATATCACGTGTGAGTGAGCACACTATTGACAAAAAGGGAGCAATAAAAGGCAATAGACAAAAGCATGGATTAAAATGAACAAGAGCAGAATATAAAAAGCAGAGAAATTTCTGTATGACCGTGAACTTTAACAACTTAAAAATCTGAGTCAGTCAGTCAATAAAGGGGTTTGTCAGTGCACTATAGCACTTCTTCCAGAGTTACAGTATCTTTCATTTGTTACATTTTACTTTAAGAAGCAATTGGAAAGTTGCATTTCTTTTGACTATGTTGTAAACTTTGTCCTTACCAAGATGCAAACAGAGTCTGAAGTTGCTGTTGACAATAAGGTCAGCTTGGTTTCCTACCTAAGCAGCAGTCCATTGAAAATTTCCCTTTTGCACTTTTTCCCACTCAGAAACCTCATCTCATTTCTTTCTCTTCAGAGTTGGTGCCCTAACAGCCACTCACACTGGGACTGCAGTGGCTCTCCTGAACAAAACCCCCTTTGTTTTTTTGTCCCTCTCTCTCTTCACGTTTGCTGTCTTTGACTCCCTCTCTCTTTTAGATTAGGGTTCGGAGATGGCTATGCCTTCTTTTATTCTTCCCTTCATTAGAGAGTGTGAAAAGCCAGGAGAGCAGACACAGGCCAGGTTACTGCAAAATTTGTCACAATGCTTAATTCCCCTAGATTTGATATGCAGGACTTRTCACAGGACAAACTGAAGAAGACCATTGGAACTGTCAGGCTAATGGTACGATCAGGTCCTCGCGCTGATGCTGTAACTAATATTGCTGAATGTTTTTAAGTAAGCCTTATGCACAGATTTGCATAGAGTTTATTTGACTTTGTTGTAGTCATACTCGGATCTGTTGAAGCTTCCAAGTGTAAACAAGTTTTTAAACTAATCTCGTCTCTTCTCTGCAGGTGCCTCAGGATGATTGGAGTGGTTTCTCTCCATTGGGGAAGGATGACGAGATCCCGTGCCGGAGAATGCGCAGCGGCAGCTACATCAAGGCAATGGCTGAGGAAGACAGCGGCGACTCAGACTGCAGTCCCAAACCCTCGCCCAAAGTGCAGGCACGACGAGCCAGCTACCTGAAGGCCACACAGCCGTCTCTCACCGAGATGACTACACTCAAGTGAGTGTGTGCTGAGAGGGAAGCCTTTTTAAGTGATTCACTCAGATTTCGGGGGATTTTTTTCCCTCTAGAACAGGGGTCTGCAACCTGTGGCTCTGGGGCCACATGTGGCTCTTTGGTCCCTCTGCAGTGGCTATTTAAGGAATTTAAAGAATATATATATTTTTTGTTTTTATACCCACAACACAAATCAATTTGAATGCAAATATACAAGCAATACTACTAATACGAAAAGTAAAACATATTAGCTCATGTTAGCCTGTTGTTTACTTAAATATTCCATTTTTTTCTATGATCTTTCTCTCAAATCCATCAGAGTTACCTTTAAATAATTTGAAGACTACATAATAATAAGAATTGGGGGGAAAAATACCTGAATAATTCAGTTGTATTAGTTTTTATGAAATTCGATATAAACTATTATGGTATTTTTCTTGTTTACATAAATACGTTTTTTCATTTGTCCTGATGTGTATAATAATAATAATAATAATAATAATATTTTTTTAGTTTTATTATGTCACCTCCACTGACCGTAAAGGTTCCCGAAAAGGCCTGCGGACCACCAGTTGATGATCACAGTTGTAGCTTATTTTGTGGCTCTGAACACATTTAATTAATATCTACGTTTACATGGACATAAGTAATCGGATTAAACGGCCATTCGGAATAAAAATACGTCATGTAAACACCCCATTCGGATTATTCTGACCCCATTCAGCTCGATCCGAATGAATTTGTAATCGAAATGAGAGAGGTGGTTTATGCCGATTGATAATCCAAACAGCGTGCATGTAAACACTTAATCTGATCATCTTATTCTGATTGTGGAAAACTGACCTGACTGCGCATGTCTGCTGACTTTCATCCAGCGGTTTCTGCTCTTTCATGRAGGGAGGGACAGCAGCGCTGTAGTGTCCAGCAGCACAGAACTTTTCCTCCTGTTTTCTCATTTAATAAAGACKGAAGACACACAGCCTGCGCTGCTTCGCAAAAAAAAARRAAAAAAAGTCAGCGCATCACCTGCGCCTCAACCAGGGAGTGCAGTAACGTCTCAACCATTATTAAAACCTGTCACAGGTCCATTCTGAGCTCAGAAGCTGTTTATTTATCTTCATGACGAAAGTATAACTTTTTTCTGGGGTTTTTGTTTAGGGAAAGTTAACAACTGTGCATATCAGTGCTTCTATTCTGAATAAAAGCCTGCATGTAAACACTGCATGTAGKTGCATGTAAACACTCGTCATGATCGGATTGTGCCCATGTGTATTTAATCCGACTACATTTCAATCCAATCAAAGAACTGTAAACATAGCTAGTGAGACAAGGAGCAGAAATGGCTCTTTTGATTGAAAATGTTGCAGACCCCTGCTCTAGACAAAGTGACATTTTGTAGTATGTTTATGCAACAGTTCTTGTGCATCTGCCATCCAGCTACTCATTTTATTCAGTACAGTTGTGTGTGTCTATGATGTTCCTGTAGGTCTGTACATATATACTGTTTGAGGTTTAGTTGTAATGACGTCATGTCAAACAGCTCAGTGAAAAAAAAAAGCAGGAGACAAAAGAAAAAAGTCAATGAGAAAGTCAACAAACTAAAATAGAAACCGTTACTATATGGTTTATATTTGCAGCTTATTTACCTAATCACCTTTGGATCATACTACTTGGTCTTTTTAGTTTTTCAGTCTAACACATTGAACAAAAAATTAAAATCATTAAACATATAGATGTAAATTTCTTCTGAAATTCACTGTACATTGAGAACATTATCAAACATTTTCTCTTGCTCAAAGTAGTAGTATAAAGAAGTGATATATTACTGGACCATTTTATTATTGTTTGTTGGCCTGTAAGACATTTGGTTTCACAGCTTGAATTCATAAAAKCTCATAGGTCCCCATTTCTGTTTTTGTTAAGAAGCTGACTTCAGCTTACAGTTTGACTTCTTTGTGAATAAGTGGAAATTTTGAAGTGTAGTAATAATAGTAGTTACAAAGCAATAGCTTTTCATCAGCAACATTTTGACCAAATATATGCAATTCTTTGTGTCTWTTATAATATAGTTTATGTTTAAATAGATGGAAAAAAATTCAGTCATTTAACTTAGCTGCCAACCCATCAGTGTAGCATCTAAAACAGCACGTGAAACAGGACAAAACTGGCAATTTTCATCAATTCATAACAAAATGTTGATAAAATTTCATAAAATTTTAAAAGGTTATTCACCACAGTCCAAAAAACAGAATGTTTGTACTTTAAGGTAAAGAGAGAATGTTTTCATACAGTGCATATTAAAACACTCATCACACAATGTGCCAGCTTTTGTCAAAGCAGGAGGCTTGTATCAGTGAAAAGTGCAGTTTGACCTGGCACCAGAATATAATCAGCTCTAAATGACTGTTCTGTAAGGCTGATCACCAAGTGGTAAATTCCCTCCACAGCCTAAGCAGGCATGAACTGCTGAGTTAAAACATTTTGTGTACAAATAGAAATTAAAATGCCTGCTGTAGACCCTAAACGAAAATAAAGATTCATCATGAGTTGGCTGAAAATGATAACATTGAGTACATTCATTGAATAATCTAAATACTGTCTCTTGATCTTGGTTATTCTATAGTGACAAAGCATACATCAGGTACTTTGATAAGTCCACAGTAAGAGTTACGAAATTAATGAGGGAAAATATTTCTWATCTTTAGGAGAAAARGTTGCTTTAGTCACTTTGCTGCTAACATTTGCACGATGACTAACGTTGAGTGGAGACAAAAATCTGTTACAGGAGTGCACCATCTGATATTTCTGAAGCAGTAAAAACCGTTTTTCTACATTAACAAAAGTATTGTTATTAATTTAGCATTGAATCTGTCACTCATTCTAAATGGAAACATTTTACATAATAACTCATTCAAACAGCAAAAAATAAAAAAAAATAAAAATAAAAAACTACATTATCATATCTATGTGAGGGGGAAAACACAAGTGTATGCCCAGTCATTGTTACTGTTAGCACAAACACAAGTGCACAATCTTATATAAGAACATGCGGCACAGCTTGGGGCCCACTAATGACTTTAGTGAGTCCCGGGGAACGCCATCATCATTTGATAGAACCCAGTGAAACAAACCAAACTGCAGCGCTGCACATTGGAGATAGAGAATGAGTCGGGAGCTGCTGACAACTTGTTTTCATACTGTTTTTGAAAAGCGGGCTCACGTCTGTTGCRCTCCACAGTGATTAAATAATCAGTTTTCTTGTTGCATATGTTTCAGAACACAGTCTGTGACCATTTTGTCCTCGTCTAACCTGGAACTGCCTCTGAAATGTTGTGCAGTTTATTTACTCTCCTCCAGTAGAACAAACAATAGTGTTTTATTAAAGTATTTCTTTTTATCCAACACATGATACACAGATACCAAGGATTTGAATCACTTTGACAATTTCTGGCGCTATAAAACAGCTCAAACAAAACAGAATTGTTTTTCTTTTTGCCAATGTTTAATTTACCCCCTACCTGTAGTAGATTTCATCATGTTTGTTTCCAGTCTCACTAAGAAGACGTAACTTTCCTTTCCTCCTTCAACTCACTAAATTAGGGTTTTATGTAAAACCTAAAGGATGATGAAAGACAGAGTGAGACGGGAAAAGCAGAAGAAATAAAGAATTGAAACAAGAACAGACCAAAAGGAATGATAAAGATGATTTGGAAGAAGATTATTTGCRATCAAGAGAATTCTATTAATAGAAAGCAACGGCTTTGAACCACATTATTTTTTTAATGATAGCAGAGAAAGATCTTCTGTAAAGTCATTAGTTCCAACAGATAAACCTTAAAGGTAGCGTCTTGCTGAGCGTTGACTGTTAGGGACTAATTGGAGACACAAAAATACAAGGAAACTTGCAAATTTTCACAATCACACCAAATGTCATGTTTGTTGGAATTAAACATTGATGTCTTTGTAAAAAAAATGTGGAAAAATATGATGAATGCAGATTCCAATAAATGATTGTGCATCACCCCCACTGACATGAAATCTGTGATTGGTATAAATGATTCGCAGCTACTGTATCTCTGAGTTTGTCAGAGTTTGAGTTTGAATGAAGTTCATTTTACTTTCATTTTACCAATCTAAGAATTGGCAGCCTGACATATTTCAAGTCACTTAAACCCACAGTGGTACGCTAGGACCAAGTGTTGAAAAACAAAGTCAATCTAAAAATGCTAAAATGACAGTTATTTCAGTCACCTCTTGGTGCTGGCTCTAAGAGCGAGTTAATCCAATTTTCATGCTAAATGCTTTTGTGTGCAGTGTATTCACAAGCCTCAAAGTAAAACAAGCTTGTCAAGGACAAGTAGAGTGTGTTATTTGAAAGACAAATGTCGAGTTAAGAACATAAAAATAATTTGTGCATACATGTCTCTTGTATTATGTGCTCACACATTTAACTATAAAAAGTCTTGATCAGTTGTGTGGAGATAAACAATAAGTGAATGTCTTCATTTATGAAGCTTTTATTTTAAATTTGTTAAACTGATAAAGAACAAAAAACTTTGATTTTTTTAAAATAAATGAACAGTTCAAGCATATTTTTTCCTTTTGATAAATCCAGCTACTAATATTTTTAAATAAATGATTATGAATGTGCTTTTTAAACTAAACTAAAAAAATCAGAAATTGTCTAAACAGACTTGCAGAGGTCCTAAATGAGCTTTGTGAGAGAATCTAAGGAAACAAAGCTTGAATGAAGTTCATTTAAATTATAATCCAAATGTTTTTAAAAATGCTGGTTAAATTCTGTCTTTTCTGGGTCAAAGCTCATTTTAACTTGCCAGAGATAAAATGGAAAACTGTTAGGTTGATATACAAATCATAATTTGAACATTTATTGGGGAACCACAGATGCCACCTTCTCCATACTAAAAAGGAGAGGGACCATCGAGCCAGTTATTTGCACACAGCTCAAAAACCTGCATTTCTGATGGTATGGGGGTGCATTAATGCCTCTGACATGAGCATCTGGACATCTAGAAAGAAACCATAAATGCAGAGTTTTCRGACTTTAGAACAAAATATGCTCCCATCTAGACAATATGTTTTTCTTCCTTTAAACAGTTATGTTTACTATGATTTGTTGTTTATAAAATATAGGTTTATGGAATTTGCAATTCATTGCATTCTATTTCTATCAAAATTTTACACAAAATCCAACTTTTTAGGATTGGAGTTGTATGCATTAAAAGCACAGCAATAACACATCCTGTTGTAAAATTCTAATTTTAAAAGACTGAACTGATAAACAATCTGAGTTGAATTAAATGGATATAAGTTTGAGAACTAATAGCTGCCGATTCGACACCCTTATTCCGATCTTAATAGCGCATCCCTCCGGTGCACCTTTATCTTCCGATGTTCCATCCAGGGATGACTAATCTGGTTTGCTTTGCTGTGGCAACCGAGCTCTATTTTAAGAAGGAAATGCATAATTAAAGAGATCTGACCTGGAGGCAGAGAGCAGGAGCTGCACATCACAACTCTATGTGATGTTCTTACATCTTTGTGTATGAAAACAAGAGGCCAAATTATTAGAAAAAAATCCACATTTGGTCCTTACTGTTAATTTAAGAATCTAATTTTTGCCCTGCATTGAGTTCCTTCATTTTACTTTGTTTTTCATAAGTTGGCTTGGTTGGCTGCCATATACATCCAGATGCGAACAAGTCATATTTAGTTTAATTAACCCCGATTATTGACTTCCACCCAGTTTTTGTGCAACCTAAACAGCCACAGTCCTTCGCACTTATTCAAACATGTGGGTGCACATAGGTGAGAAGCATGCTGAGCAATCAGGCTGCAGCTAATGAGACACCTACAGTATTTATCTTCTGTAGAGAGATGATACACCTACACTACCATCACTAATATGCACCTTCGTATATATTAATTTATGTACTGTACTAGGTATATGTACATTGTTATATATCACGAGTATAGTGGTTTTTTGTTGTTTTTCTTTTACTTATCTTTCTTTATTCTATCTCATCCTGTCCTGTTTTGAGCTGCTTTAATGTGGAAATTTCCCCACTGTGGGATCAATAAAGTCTTATCTTGTCTTATCTTATCTTATCTTATCTTATCTTATACTGTACGTGTCAATCTGTAAGCCTTTTTTGTGTCTGTTTTTTTTTTTTACAAAATTCTATAAATTAAGAGCTTTCTATAGGCACACATACTCTGCCTTATCTTTCCTGATAGGAATGCAAGTGTTCTCAAARTTGAGTTAAGTGTTTTAGAAAGTGCTTATGAGGTAGTTCAAGGAGACTGAAACCTCTCCAAGTGTTTCTCTGTAGCTTGTTGATTAGATAAGTGACTCCTTACATTTAGGTTTAAAATATGCTAAAAAGCACATTTTAAACATTTCATTCTTTCTTTACCTGTAATACTATTTTTTATCAAATATTTTATTGTTTTTTTTTTTTATCTACCCATCCTTTTTCCCCTTCTCTTGCGGCAGAATTTCCACAGAGCACTCACCCAAGCTGCAGATCCGAAGTCACAGCTATCTGCGGGCGGTGAGCGAGGTTTCCATCAATAGGAGCCTGGACAGCTTGGACCCGGCAGGGCTGCTGGCCTCGCCTAAATTCCGCTCCCGAAACGAGAGCTACATGAGAGCTATGAGCACCATCAGCCAGGTTAGTGGATATCTCGGGGCCCATGGCTCTGTGTTGTTGGCCTCTACACTGAGGAGCTATGTTTGGCGAGGCCGTGCAGTGGGAAGAAAATCACATTTGTAGCTTAAATCAACAATCAGGTCACCATTCTGCAGAGACAGAAAATTATGCGAACCCCTAGTCTCCTAATTAGTGTATATGTCTGTTTGCTAGATTCTGGAGCTCAGATGATGTGTTGATATTCAGATTGGCTAATTAAAGCAGGAGCACATGCACAATCCCTCCAGTCTCCTCCTTTACCTTGGCTTGCACTTTCTGTCTTAACATCCATCCATCAATTTTCTTTACCTGTTTTTCTTCTCGGGTCGTCGGGGAGCTGGTGCCTATTTTCAGCAGTCACTGGTTGCAAGTCCATTACAAGACTACATGGAGACAATTAAGATCTGTCTCACATAAATTTGTGAAGTAAAAATTAAAGCTTTAAGTGTCCTCCTCAGTTTGGCCCGAGAAATTAGACTGTTTTTTTTTTTTTTTTGATCCGATGTGTCTTTCTGTTTTTGCCATTAAAAAAGCTGGCACGGTCGCAGCTTCTTATTGCTGCGGTAGCTGTAAAATGTGGACATTTGGGATTTTGCTCACTGCTTCATGCTCTGCCATGTTTGGAGTGACAGGGAGGCTAAACGTACCTTTTTGCCTGGGGGTGCTTTAGATGTGTACTCCCATTCAAACCCGGGGGGCAACACTTTGCTTCACCATCTGAGTGATGGACCTCTGAGACTTCCCTTCAAGTTTTGTCAGAGACCAAGCCTAACAGGAGAATGTCACAGAGGACCTGGCATTTATATATTAAAAAAATAAATGTGTTGCAATTCTGTAAATCATCCTCACCTTTTTGCGCAGTGTGTGAAAAAACATTAGAAATTTGAGGTCCACAAACGTTTCTGACTTAAGGCTCTATAATTTTACGCCCACACTTATTAACTGTACAGTCTCTACATCAACAAAAACTCTAACTACACAAGCTTTGGTCTCATTCCACTTTCTGTTTTAAATTCTTCAAGGACTTGAATTCAGCTTCATTTGTCTACCCTCCTATAACCCAGTTTGTTAAATCCACTTATCTCTCAAAAATCTCTAGCAAGTTTCCTAAAGCTTTTCCTTTATTTAGACCTCTTTCTTCAACTCAAAACTGTGCAAGCTAATGATGTAGTTTGATATCCTAGGGATAATAGTAATCCCAGCAGTTCTTGTTTTTACACTTTCTCTTCTCACCTGTAATAACAAGACTTAAAGGGCCAATATTATGTGTTTCTCAGGCATATATTTAAATACTATACCATAATAAAGTATCTATGTCACCTTTAGTTGTTATTAAAATGCTGTTTTTCTGTTTAAATAGAAAATAAACTTATCTTTTCATCACTTCCTCTTCTAAACACCTTGAAATTGGCCTCTGTCTCTTTAAGAACATCCTCCTGCTTCTGTCCCGTCCCATAAAATACATTTCCTCAAAGGTATTTTGAATCTGAAAAGAGCTTCACTGAGTGAGAAGTAGTGGATCTCGGCAGACAACTTTAGTTTCAGTTTCACTTTTGCTTTGTTACTGCTGAGAGCCTGAGTCATGGGCGGAGTGTGTGAGGTGGGGGGGTGGGGAGGTGTGCTCCATGATGAAGTTTGGCTTAAAGACACGTCCCAGGGGCGTTTCTGTTACCAAAAGGCGTTTCTGGTGCCCACCTGTCGTTTTGCTCCTCAGCAAGGCTGCCTAAAAACGCTACAGGATTTCTCAAACATGTATGAATGTGTCAGAGCAAGGCTTTGGGCATGTTTTTTATGAGAGTATAACATTATAACATGATATAAAACTCAAAAAAGTTGATTTTACATGATATTGCCCCTTTGAAGAATATCACTCTGTTATTTGACTCTTTGAAGTTATATCATGTGATAATTCCACTCATATACCCTTTGGAAGCTTACACCCTTTGTGTAGTAAATTTATTCATTTTCACTTAAAAACAAAACAATTACTATACATACAATAAATAATACAAATCACAAATAAAATGAAAGG